ACATTCCATGTTTGAGAAAATATAACAAAATGCAAATATTATAACGGTTCTATGCCCTTTGTCAAATTAAAAATGAAGAACTGCAGCTGCATACTGATTGAGAAGATAGAGACTATTGCATTGTAATGGTGTAGGTATATAGAATAATATACTGAGACACTATAGCCACCACAACAACTACAGTTAAATGTAATGGTTCTGGTGTAGCATGTCCCTGCAGTGTTAGCACTGTAAGCAATGCCTTTTCAGAGAAAAGACAGTGTTTACATTGCAGCGTAGTAACACCTCCATTGGCAGTCACTCAGACGGCCACTAGAGGTGCTTCCTAGTGCAGCACCTACGTTCAGCGTCTCCATCCTGGATGTTCCCTGTAGAGATGCATTGATGACATTCTATGAAGAGATGCTGATTGGCTTTGGTTTTTGGTGGTGTGAAGGGAAGGCTCACAGTTGTTTGTATTCTGTTTTCTATGATCAGTGAAAGCGCAGTTTTAGTGTGAAGAATGCAAAAAGCAAATATGAACGCTAACTTTGGCCAGGGTTTGTGACTAAGTGGCTACTAAAAATGACTGGACATAGTCCACTTTGATTACCTGGGTTGTCAACTTTTTCAAATGGTATGCCATGCTGGGGGTAATTCTCAATCCTGGGCTGCTATACAATCTCAAAAGCAACATAACCAATCTGGCAAATTTCAATGTGTAAAACTGAAATGGTTAACTCTTATATTTGACCCTGTAATTTTCCAAAACACCATAAAACCTGGATATAGGGGGGTACTGTTGTACTCGTGAGACATCACTGAACACAAATATGAGTGATTTTTAGAGCAGGAAAACGTATAATGGTGATGATATCGGTGAATGTGCATTTTTTGTGTAAAGAATCCAAAAAAAACAAATATAAACACTAAATGTGGCCAGGGCTGGTGATTAGTGGCTACTAAAAAACTGACATACACCATTTTAAATACCCTGGGTTGTCTACTTTTCAAATGGTATGCCATGATTGGTTAATTTTCATTCCTGGGCTGCCATACGGTCTCAAAGGCAAGATAGGCCCAGCAAACCAATCTTGAAATTTCAATGTGTAAAAACTGAAAATGGGGAAAGCCCTATATTTGACCCTGTAAATATCAAAATCCCCATGATACCGTTACATGGAGGGTTGCCTCAGTCTTTAATGAGTTAAAAACACTGTGTAATGAGAGTTACCCTTTAAAGAAAGCTAATCAATAATACAAAATGTATTAACAATTCTTAATAATGCCATGATCTAATAGGAGTTAGAGTGACCAACCTGTCATAAGATATAGAAATATTACATAGATCAATAATCGATATTATTAGACATTTCCAACTGAATTGGAGGGTTTATAAAGGGTTATTCACTAACATAAGACTGACCTGGAATATAAAGAGAATTTTAAATTCAAGGTTAAACTAGCTGAAATGAAAAAAATAAAATAATCTCTAAGCCATCTGTGCTTTTAGTTTGGTTATTCTGGCCGTTAAGTTGAACTTCACTTTGCATTCTCAGTTTAGTAATGTACCCCGAGAATATCTACCGAAAATCCTCAAAAATTACTCTTTGCCCCAAACCCTTAGGTGCCACAGCAGATAACATTACATAAAAAGCAATATCTTTTGGAACCGAAACTCTTACAGACAGAGAAAATCTTGGCAGAGTGAATCAATGCGGTTTACGGAATTGTATTAGTGATATTTATTAATTGCAAAAGCCTATAAACGTCATTTCCTGTTAGCAGTTTATAGATACTACAGCTCCAACTAGTCTTAAACAGCAGAGTCTATTAGTCCGCTGTTCAAATAAATCTTATTATCCCCCAGAAATAGGCCTGGAACAAAAATCAATAAATCAGCTTTAGATATACAGTAATCCTTTTGCTGAAATCAGTCCTGTCAAGAAGGAAGCAGTGTGGAATCTGTAGCAATATTCACTATCAGTGGAAAAATAACTTCTTTTTGACTCAACCACAGTTAAATCCCGGATACATAATTTGTGAACCTCTCCATAGTGTGAGGAACGATAATAATGGCTAAATGAGAAACGCAGCGTCTGATGGCATCATCCAAAAGGCATGATGAGAAACCACACATAACAAAAGAAACAGAGGTATAGCACCATAGTTGTGGTAATAAAATAAGTTAAAGTCTCTTACCAGTTACCCATTATTATTCTTTATCCATGTTTCCATTCACCATCTTAGCTGCATTTCAGGTGTTCAAATGCCCCATGGCAACAAGACTCTGCCAGAACGAACCCTCATATCAGAGAGAGAGAGATACTACAGAGCAACTTACTGCAAGGAATTGTCGTTTTGTCCGCTCAGCAAGACTGCTTCACAAAATATCTGTGTATCAGCAATAAGTAAATGATGCGCTAGCCACCACACTCCCTACCCTAGCAGAAATATTCACTTTGAATATTACTAGATGTCAAACTGAACTGTCTGAAAATACCACAAGACACACCTCTTGTAATTATTATCTAGATTATTGGTCTACAAAAGTAACTTTTCGGCGACAATATAGGTGAAAGAGTGTTAGAAACGAATCTGTCTCTTTATCTGTCTGTCTGTTTATTGCAAAAGCCTTACAACGCTGCTGAAGAGTCAGAATGAGTGACTGTTTTGATATGGCTTGAGGAAGTCTCATTCAGGGTCAAACCATTGTCAGGTCGCTATCTATATATTTTAGAAAAAAATAACTCAATTTATATTTTCAACGCAGCTGAGAAAATGTTACCTTGGAACTAATTTAAAGTATGAAAAAAATGCATGATTTGCTTAATTCATACGCAAGATGTGAAATTGCCTCTCTTTCAAAGGTTTACAAAAGTAAAATTGCAGGCAAAATAGACACAAAGCCTGTACAAGGTATCCACTATTTACCGATGTTGCATGTGTTCCATACAGTGCTACTTGAGAATGTGAATGAGTGACTGTGTCTTGACATGGCTTGAGAACGTCTCATTCAGGGTCAAAGCATTGTCAGGTCACTGTCTATATAGTTTAGAATAAAATAACTCAATTTATATTTTCTTATCAGTGGAGAAAATTTTACCTTAGAACTGATCTCAAGCATAAAACGTGCATTAGCTTGGTTACTTGAATAAAGGCAAACTGAACATCCAAGAAGATTTTGGTGTCTTTCTGAATTGCATGACTAAGAGTGATTAAAGTGTGGAACTGTTTCAAAGTTAGTTGGTCAATGCCTATCTGCACATGCACTGATTGCATATTACTGTGTGACTGTGCATTCATCTCACAGATACAATTTTTGTTCTTTGCAACGAAGGAGCTGGGGGAGAGATGGAGGTTTGCAACACTGCCCGAGGGGACCATCCTTTGATAGTGATCTTTAGGGCAGCTTTGCACTTGCATTTATGTTTTTATACAACACCATGAGTCACAGTGCTGGGAGATATGATACATTCTTGACGCGCTACCATATGTAAATGCCTGGAAGTCTTAAAGCTGTTTCTGCTGACAAATGACCCTCACAGTTCTGAATTATGTGAGACCTATGGGATTATCTGGGGAGATATTTTGATCTCTTTAACCAACAGGGAATCACCTTCTAGAAGTCGGGATCCTTTTCTTGAGCACTGACACAATTAATCCATATAGTCCTTGAATGCAGTGGAAAGGTGAAAGTGACAGGAATTTAGGTAAAGGGTAAAGAAACGGTCAGATTCAAGGAGCACACCAAAGCGGTTCTGCTAGTTCTGCTAACCTTAAGGGAAACGGGCACACATGTAGCCTTAAAGGTATGAGGAAAGATATGGAGTTAAGATGTTGAGTTTTAGGAACCCTGAAGTCACCCTGTCACAAACTGAGGACAAGCAGTCTGTGACCACTGGGACATATGGAAATAGCTCTACCTAGCTGATATGGGCTGACTGTTTCCGCTGTAGAATTTGGATGACAATTGATATGCCAACCAGGATAATTTCTCTATTGCTCCTACACCTTTTTGGACCTTTCACACCCTTTTTTTTAACTTATTGATTGGATTTACAATTTCCTACAACTGCAAACATTTTTTTATTTTCTTCCATTGCTGTCCTTTCATTGTGACCAACATTTTAACAATAACCTAATAAAACAATATTCCAAAAACAAACCTTTTATTGGCCTGTTATTTGTTAATTCAATCAAATAAAGAAAATTTGATTCTAAATGTATTTTCCAAAACACCATAAAACCTGTATCTGGGGGTTGCTGTTGTACTTGTGAGACTTAGCTGAATACAAATATGAATGTTTTAGAGCAATAAAATATTTAATGCTGATGATATCATCAGTAAAAGTGCAGTTTTTGTGTGAAAAATGCAAAAAACTAATATGAACACTAAATTTGGCCAGGATTGGTGACTAAGTGGCTACTAAAAAAACAACCCATTTTGAATACCCTGAGTTGTCTACTTTTGAAAATGGAATGCCAGGAAGGTGGTAATTTTAATTCCAGAGCTCCCATACGGTCTCAAAGGCAACATGTGCCAACAAACCCAGCGAACCAATCTGGAAAATTCCAATGTGTAAAAACTGAAATGGGCAAGCCCTAAATTTAACTCTGTAACTTTCTAAAACACCTTGAAACCCATACACGGGGGGTCATCGTTGTACTTGTGGGACATCACAGCATACAAATACGTGTGGTTTAATGCAGTAAAATCTAAAAGTATTATGACAAACACAGTTAAAAAGCAGACACTTTTGAAATAACATTTCTTAATTTTTTTATTTTATCCATATTAAATTATGTTTCATGTATCAAAAATTTGATGTGAAATGAAAGCCTTATTTCTCCTGAACAAAATGATATATAATAAGTGTGAGTAGACTTAATATGATTGTTAATTTACGGTTGAACAGACATATAACTCAAATTCTAGGTTTTGATTTGGCTTGGTTTGGTTAGGTACAATTGCCTCCTTCCTGAAGGGGTTAAGCTTAGTAAAAGAAAGAACAGCAAATTTAGTGTTTTTGGTCTTTAAGTGGCAAGTCTTGGAATTTTGCCAAGAACCCTCGTCCTGACAATCTGTCACCTCGCACACTCTGCGCTGAAATAAAATCATTCGCAGACAGATGCTTACTTGCATTGCAAGGCACATCATTTTCTTTACTGGATCCTTCTAATATGGGATATAATTGACTCTTAAGATGATACATGTGCAAACTCAGTTCTTTATTTTTGCGTTTTAAAGCCTGAGCAGGAGTACGGAAACTCCGGTTATTATAGGTGATAAGACTGAAATATAAAAACAACATATCTCACTTACCACGTCCATTAAAAAAAAAAAAAAAAACTAGGTTAAAATGCATGATAGTATTACACATTTATCCATATCACTACAAAAACACTTACTGTATAACAAGCAAATGTATCTTCTCTACTATTAGAATGCAATTTGAATTAGAATGCAGTTATTAATTGTAATACATTTTTAAGAATAGAAATACAATACAATTGACAGGAATGGTTTTACATAGATAAGAGAACCCAGAATAATTTATTATTATTATTATTATGTTATTATTTATATAGCGCCAACAAATTCCGTAGCACTTTACAGTGGGTGGACGAACAGACATGCAGTTGTAACCAGACAAGTTGGACACACAGGAACAGAGGGGTTGAGGGCCCTGCTCAATGAGCTTACATGCTAGAGGGAGTGGGGTAAAATGACACAAAAAGGTAAGGATAGTATTAGACTAGTAACAGTTGCAAGAGAGGAATCAGACAGGAGCTATTATTTATTTATTTATTTATAAAATATTTTACCAGGAAAGATACATTGAGATTTCTCTCTTTTTCAAGTATGTCCTGGGTCCACAAAACATTGCATTGATACATTATGGTACAATAAAATACAAAAGCAATATTAATACACAAAAGTGGGTTTTTAATGATTTTTTGAAGGAGTGGAGACTGGGTGAGCATCTAACGGAGGAGGGAAGTGAGTATATTACAAACAATGCAATAATGTTATTATTCTTATAGTTAATTATGATTTAATTATGTTATATGGTCAGAATTTACCAGATTGATAAGGGGTTTATAATTCAAAATATACTTTGAAAGATTCTAATAACACTATGGAAGGTTATCACATTAGGTAGTAATTTCTCTGTACATATGTTTTAGCAGGTATGTACAAAGACAAAAACGTGTGAAAGTGCTTCCATTAGAATTTTGGTATGAACTCAACCCTAATAGAAATTGTTTTAGTGGTAGAGGATAGTACAACTATTTGGACATGTCATTTATATGACTTTGTCAACAGAAAATTATGCAAAGTTTCTAAAGTCGGGTCGTCATTGTGGAAACGAATGTGATCTAACAGAAACATTCTTCCATAATTCTCTCGTTGATTTCTAACGTGATGGTTCCACCTAGAATGTAGAATCACTTTTCTGTTGGGGACATTTTCATAAATATTTATTTCATGTCATGTCCTTTATTCAATTATATAGCTAAACCTTGTCTAATCACCTTGCAGAAGAACAGTAAATAATGACATGCATCTTTTAAACAAGAAGAAGCCATTATTCTGAACATTTAATTTTTTTTTTTTTAAATGCAGTATCTTGCTATAACAAAGGTATATCAAGGTCATATTGTAAGCCTTTGTCACATTTGTTGATTATTATTATGATTATTATTATTATTACTGGGATTTATATAGCGCCAGCATATTCCGTAGCACTTTACAATATTATCAAAGGGGGAGATTTAACAGTAAATGAGACAATTACAGAAACTTACAGGAACGATAGATTGAAGAGGGCCCTGCTCAAACAAGCTTACAGTCCATAGGAGGTGGGGCGTAAAACCTAACAGGACAAGAGGTAGCAATCAAACAAGGTGGAGTGAAGCAGATCTGGATGAGAGAATAGAGTACTACCAATTAGGACAGAGCAAGGGATAGGTATGTGAGGTAGAGGTTACTATGTAAGGTAAGCTTTCCTAAAGCAATGGGTTTTGAGGCACCATTTAAATCATTGAAGACTAGGGGAAAGCTTGATGGTCGTAGACAGGCTATTCCAAAGGAATGGAGCCACCCACGAGAAGTCCTGCAAGCGTGAGTTGGCCGTACGGGTGCGAGTGGAGAGACTGAGAAGGGGCATACCTGTGGATCAGTGAAGATATATAGGAGGGGCTAGAATTGGTCAGTGCCGTATAGGTGTGGATTAGTACCTTCAACTGACTCCTATAGGATACAGGAATCCAATGTAAGGACTGACAGAGGGGAGAGGTGTGAAAGGAGCGACAGAAGAGGGAAATCAGTCTATCTGCAGCATTCATTACAGACTGTAGCGGGGCAATACGACTTGTGGGAAGACCTATGAAGAGAGAGTTACTATAATCCATGCAAGAGATTACTAAATTAAATGTAATAAACAAATGAATAGGCTCGACATGTTCAAAGGTAATTTCAGAACAAGACATTCTAGAAAACGTTTTGTTAAAATGTGGATTATAAGTGGGTCAATAGAGGGATAGGTGGCTGCTTCCACAGCAAGACGTGGCACCCTCACTCTTTACAACTACTCCAGCAACACAGCAGATAATACCAGGACAAAATAATAACAAAAAGTTCTTATCTATAGATTTCTTACCAATGTGGCTATCACACTGTAAGATGATATGCGATTAAATATAAAGTGATTCCAAATTGTGTTAGGCATGAGGGGTGCACTTTATTCAGCAATTCTCTACATATACCTGTTGTTTTCAAATCAACATTTTGCTCAAAAGTGGTCATGGCATGCAGTCACATGTTATGATAAACAGCACTCGTTTGTTAACTCCTTTTTCAGGGATTAGAATAGTGACAGTCACTCTCCCCCTTTATATTTTACTGCTTGTGTAAAATAGGGCCAGAGCTCTCTCCGTGTCTCTCCTCAATCTCTTATTGATAAATCCCAAGTTCTCTCTTGACCAGAGTGTACAGTGAGGGGGTGGGAGGTAAGTTAGCAGAGTTCTAATGTATAGATATAGAACAGTTGACTCTCACTGCAGACAGTGGGGGAGAATACAACAGAGGGAGAGAGAGTGAACAGATAGGCATATAGTAAGATACTTAGACTCTGTTTGGTTAGCTAACGGCTTCTGTACTGCATTTCTGGATGCTATAAATGCTGTGTGATTTTTAACCTGAACTTTGACATCAGGTGCTCATACCTCACAAGAGTCCCTATTTTTGACCCAAGTCGCTCTGTGCCTCTTTTCTAGGAGCTTCATATTGTCTATAAACTGCAATAGATTTATATATAAATCAGTCTGTGTAAATTACATATTAGTTGCATAAATTGTTACTAGTAAGTCACTGACACATTCTCAGAAGAGCCATGCCCATGGTCTCATCCCCCCTCACACCCCTAAAATTAAAGTGTACCTCTTTGTCCATTTGAAATGTTGTTAGGTGTTGGTACTGCAGTAAAGAAACAATCATCCCAGTGAAACTGGCACAATTCCAACCCCATTGGAAATTCTCAAATTTACTAATGCCAAATACGGTCATGATTCGATCGGCCCAACCGTTTCTGTAACATTGGTTCAGGTGAGTTCTGAAAATCAGTGATTACCACATCGGAACCAATCCACAGCACCAGAATTGGGGATTTATCAATGACGCATGATAAACTGAATGCATCTGGGAGGATGCTAGTTCACACATTTTCATTCACTTCCTATTTGCAAGTGAATTGATCATTTGAAAAACTATTTGCCCCATGGCAACATTAGAAGCCAGCGGGCAAATAGTTAAAAACCCAGCGCTAGAATTAATTATGTGGTGGCTAGGAAGCACTTCCGAGCCAGTTGCCAAAGTGAAAAATAAAATAAAATAATGAAATAATAAAGAAAAATCCTATGTGTTCAATAAAACCTACATATTGCTATAATGGAGGTATGTTACCTCCCTGTGCCCTATGTGCCATCCAGCAGGTGGTGGCATGTCTACTAAACATTAAACATCCCATGTAGATGGGGCCTGAGAAATAACAAAGGGGACATAATTCCTCATTCCCCTACCCTTGGGCATTAGGAGAGAGATACTTTTAATATTAAGAGTAAGGAGCTAGCATTCCCTGCCCTGGCCTCCACTCATGCCATGTATTTGGTGTGAATGAATGCCCTGCTTCTCCTAAACAAATTGATACATGATGGATGTGGGTACATAATAGTTGAACAGACATATAGCTCAAATTCTAGGTATTGTGTTCATCAGAACTTGTCCATTTGCCTCCGTACTTAAGGGGTTAAGGTAAGTATGACTATTTACACTCAATAAATAACTCTTTCTGGCACTCATCCCATATAAAAGAAAAAAAAATACACCTTAAATGTACCAAGGTTCTGTCCCAGCACGATATGCATCAACCAAAAAACGAGAGCACTCTATGGATTTTGTGAAATCAATTCAAATGATTGTATTTACAATAGCATAAGTTGGATTAACGTTTCGACCTCCTAGCGTCTTTATCAAGATAAAGACCGCTAGACGGTCGAAACGTTGATCCAACTTATGATATTGTAAATACAATCATTTGAATTGATTTCACAAAATCCACAGGGTGCTCATGTTTTTTGGTTGATATATAAATATATATGTACATATATATAAATATATACAGACACACCTGTTTTGCAGCATTCTAATTCTAATTCTAGATAAAATATGCATGTATCTACTACAAAATAGTTTTTCCAAATCTAGAATCACTATCAAAATATGAATTGTAATCAGTGCTACTTTTATATTACCACTTAATGCAGTTATAAAAAGAAGTAATCTACTATGTACACATACAGACCTTGAACACATCTACGGCAAATTATATCGGTTGGTAAACATTCGCATCAAGCTATTAAAATTAAATTATTTTTGTACGCAATGCAGTACTTGTAGTAGATTTCCCAGGGTATATTCCTCTTTTTAACCAATCAAGACCTGACAATTCTAAAAACTGAATAGCAGTTGAGACAGCATATTGGATCTAGCCTCATAGGAGCCCGTAGTAAATACTTCATCCAAAACTGCTCATCCCAAAAGAGTCTGCATGTCCTATAATGTATCCTCTCCAGCGATACACTCCCAGTTTAGGAGATGAATACTGTAAAGCACTGCTTTTTGGAGACCTAGCTGTTGTAACAGGTTGAATTTATGGAAACAGATCTTTAATTATTAAATTCTGGATTCAAAGATCATTTTAAGAATTGTTTTGTATCAATAGATCTAAATAGGTAAATATTAGTTGTTACCGTACTTTCTTAAGCAAAATGCCTGTTGTTACTATAAAATTGTATCAACGTTTTTAACCTGGAAAGGTCAATTTAATTTGTTGTGGTTTCCTAGTTATTACTATCTTAAAGGAACACTCCATCAGCTAGAGCACTTTAGTTTGCTGAAGTGCTTTATGTGTGAAGAGTGTGTCCTCTTTTTTTACATTTTCCAGAAAGTGCAGATTTCCATAACAATTGGCACTTTTATAAATTAATCTTGTTACACCACCCTGGCTGTCAAACAGACAACCAATCCTGTTACTTCCTGGTTTGGTTAGCTCAGTGAAGCTAAACTCAAGAGGCAGCAATTGCTCAGAGCACCTGCCTTTCAAAGACTTCTCATTGAGCTGCATTAGGAAACCTGTGATTGGACAGCCACAGAAAGACTTGGAGGGGTTAGAAGAGGAGGACTTGCAAAAGCAGCAGACAAGCTATTTTTAGAGATACCCAATTTCAAAAATCCCAATTAAAAAAATAGTGTTTTATTTTATTTGGGCAGTGAAGTGTCCCTTTAATGATACTGCTGAGTTGACTTTTTTAAGAACTGAACCTGTGATTTTGATGAATTGCAGATGGAGTTCTATCCACAGCGATTGACAGTTGGTCTAAGTCTCTAAGATATAATGATTAACATTATTGTAAGTATATTGTATTAACATTATTGTAAGAATACAACAAGGAACTTGTGCACATAAATACATTTTTCACATTCAGCACCATGGACAGGGGCTGTCAGCACTGAACAGCGCAGTATACACATCCTATCCTACGTTTTGTTTTAACAGATTTCACCTACACAGATACAATGACCATATTAATCAAAGGCATGGATGATCATCTAGTAAGTATCCTGGACATACAGATACATGTTCGGTAGCTGTGATCATGACTGTTACTGAAACCACAGTGTTTTGTTACTTATCTTACTTGGTTAGACAGCTGTGTTTATAATGTATAACATGTGACATTTGAGCAACCTACGTATTAGTGACCCATCTCCTACCTATCTCAGACACAGACAACGCCTTCATCTAATATGCAACCTGCCAAATGTTTACTTCTAAGCATTACTTCCTGATTATCATTACAAAGAAAGTCTCACATGAAACATTCTACTGCTAAAATAGTCCGACCGTTAAATACCTTGTAACACGTATACTGTTTTATTATGTATTTTATATGAATATGGCAAACTTTCTGTGAGTTATTAAAATAACACCAGGGCCAAAATAGAAAAATACTATAATTAGTGATGTAACAATAGGAATTGTACAACCTTTAGTTTTGGATCTGGACCTCCAAATCTTGGATAGGGTAGCAAGTAGGAGAATTAGCTGAGGAAGCAGTAGTCCTGTGCCTTAGTTGGCACGCACACTCTCTCCCTTGCTAAATTTTAGCATATGTATGTTACACTCAGTGGGTGCAGTGATAGTACTTTACATCCCTACGTCCACTGTAATCCAATGAGTACACCATTAGGAAAAAAAGGAAGTGTGTGATAACATAGAGTTTACTGATATCTTTCTGCTTGACAATGCCCCAAAGAATCCATACCCGCAACTTTACCAATTGTAAACACAAACAGGGTTATTTACATTTGCATTTCAAATTTTAGGCCAGGCATTGATGACTTAGAGACCTTTTTCCAGTTTGGCTGTTTTGACAAAAAAAAATTAAATTCACTTGAATTATCACTTTAGAGAACAACCCTAAAAGTTGGAAGATTATTCAGCAAAATAAAATAGTGTTTACTGCCTTACTACATGATTGAAACTAAAATCAATAAAATTTGTCAGACAGGAATTGTATCCTATATTTGTTACTGATATGGACACCCATCCCTCCAAACACACTAGACACATTATCAAGGTTTGTAACCATTGGCAAAGATCTTCAATTTGAAAAATCCTTAACTTCATTTCAAATACTGTTAGAGCTGAGCCTGTCTAGCCAAGAATGTCCACTCATTGAAAAAAACTGGAGAAGATAGCATATTTTCTGCTTTCAACATATAACTAAGACAGGATCTGTCACAGCTATACCACTTGGGAACAATGACCAAGACATTCTTCAGTCATTTACCATGTTTATCAATTGCATCACTTGATCATCTTGGATTGAAGGTGTGAAAATCAGCCACGTTTATTACCTCAAATTTTCATGATGCCCCCAATGAGCATCTTACCTGACAATAAACACTTTACCAACACAATGGAAATTCAAGTGTAGCTTTTTGTTGATCGTTTATAATTCCAGCCATAACCAGTGTTATGGGTGCTACTCGGTCTTTGAGGGATTTCTTATACAATTAAACTGAATAGATTTTAGATTTAACAATCAAAGCTTGGATATATAAATGGACAATTTATTCTAATAAATGTCTATTTTCATTTGACCCTAAATAACAAATTCACCCCTCTACCATCATAATTAATAAAGTCACTGGCCATAATCTCTTCAATAAAAGACAAATCAATGAGTGCAGGTCACTAGCCTTTTTTTAAAGGGAATCTATAGTGTAAGTAAAACAAAGTTGTATCCCTTACACCAGGCTTCCCCAAACTCCGGCCCTCCAGATGTTGCTGAACTACAACTGCCATGATTCTATGAATGAAATAGATAGGCTTCAGCAACATCTGGAGGGCCGGAGTTTGAGAGAGTCTGCTTTACACTATAGTTCCCTCTGGTTTAACCCCCATTGCACCCCACCCCCAGCATGGAAAGAGTTAAAAAAAAATAACGTTGTTTACTCATCTGATTTCAGGGCTGATCTCAATTGGTGCTGGGTTGGTGATCTTCCTCCTCCTTCAGGAGGCGCTAACGTGCATGCACAGTCAGTATTAGGCCCTCTTAATACTTTCCTATGTGGATTTTACTAACGTTGGATGTTCTCATGTAGAGCGTGAGGACGCCCAGCTGTAGTTAGGGGACCTAAAGTCAATTAGGAAGTGCCACTAGTGGCTGTCTAATCTCTAAAACTGCAATGATTTAACATTGAAGGAATAAGGGATGCAGAGACATTGCACCCAGACCACTTCAATGAGATAAAGTGATCTGAGTGCCTATAGTGTCTCTTTAAGCAGTGCATATCAGGCTGCACTCAATGTCTCTCCTCTAAGCAGTGCATTTCAGGCTGCAGCAAGTGTCCACCCTCCTCTAAATAGTGAAAATTGGGCCCCTGCCAGTGTCTCTCCTCTCAGGCTTTTGTCAATGTGAGTTAGACACACCGATTGATGTCTGTAGGGAACTCAGGAAAGACAACAGTTCCAGGGCCGAGTATCATGGTCCCATAAGCATTTAAACTAAAATACTATGGTAATTTTAACATTACAAGTATCATTTCTGAGGTTCCTTTTTGAAAAAGTCACAGTAACTCTCTACTTATCGAAAAGAACATTTGTTGAGCTCTTGAAAAAAAACATACAACTGAATAACCAGATACCAGAAGATGTAAAGATGAAAAGTGAAATATGATCATGTCAAAGATAAGCGTACACAGATCAGTATCCAGTGATTTTAACTAACATACCCCAAAAACAAGGACAAAATTAGACTTATGCAGACATTCAAAGTGCCTAATTACATGCATAATGTCTGCAGTCAACAATGGTACAAAATCTTTCAGACCATCAACATTTTTCTTTCCGATAAATCAACAATACTGGCATTGTGTATATTGATTCCCCCTATTGTGCATAATGACATTATGTTTGGACATTTGATAATTCACAACAGCCCAGTAGAGAGTGACACTAAAAGGTATATTGCAGATAGAATATATTGTAACAAATTTAAACATGTGAGAAACAACTGAGCCTGACATTCCATTCAATTTAACTTTAAAGACACTTTTTTACAGTACAAAATGCAAAATGCCATTTAATTATGAATTTGACCTAAAATTCCTATAGTTTCTTCCTTTAAACTTAGAAAAACATGGAAAAGCAAAGCGAGTCAGGTACTAAAATACATCAAATTAAGTCAAAGCCTATTACATAGGAATGTGCCCTAGTCATCATTCAATAATTGCATATAAACTTACCCCAGTGTTGTCATGGTAACAATGGTGTACCAGAATGCGGCGGGGATACTGGTAAATTTGTTATTGAGTGATCCCTTTTCTGCATAAAACATAACGGTAGCAAAGACGATGATGGCCATGGTAAGGGAGAAAAGTAGAAAACCAAGCTCCGAGGCACAGCTCTTTAACGTGTAGCCCAAGATCCGGAGGCCCTGGGAATGACGGGAGAATTTAAAAATCCGGAACACACGGAACACTCGCAATGTGACAAAAGCCCCACTTACGTCCTCATTGTTTGTCATCACTAGGGCAATATAATATGGCATTATGGCCACCACATCGATGATACTCATTACACTTCGCACAAAACGATATCGACTTGGTGCTGCTATTAAGCGCAGCACATACTCCACTGTGAAGATTATCACACATGCTGTATCCAAGCAGAAGAAGGCCATTGTATAACGCTCACCACAGGGTAACTCGCGCATGGTACCTGGACTTGTGCCACATGGTACTGTCTCCACTACATTGGCGAGAACAGAGACAGCGATAAAGAAACCGGTGACATAGTAAAAGACCAAGGCTAATGTACTTGTATGAGGGTTCTCAAAAGCTCGCCAAATCTTCTCTCGCACAGACATTGGGGGCAACATGCCTTCTGTTTGGCTATCACTCTCAGCATCATCCATTATTCTCTCCATATTCTCCCTGCGGCGGTCTTTGTATTCCTCATAGCAGCAGTCTCCAACAATCTCAGGAAGGATTCCAAAAAAAGAAAGCTCCTCGTCATATGCCGCAATGCACTCATGCCGTGGGTAATGCAGTTTGCCTGTACGGTAAAAGTTCAGAATGTGCCGAAAAATGTCTGGGTCCCTGTCAAAGAAATATTCCCCAATATCCTGATTAAAGAAGAAATCACGTTCTGTACTGCCCAGTAAAGTGTCGGGGTAGCGCTCTAGCGTGTTTCGCCACGTTTGAAAGCGTGTGCCACTCACGTTTAGCACAATCAGGGTGTCCTGAGACCTCTTTCTCTCTCCAGCAGGAGGAGAGGGCATGGAACCTGTAGCTACTGGCATCCAGCCTACAGCAGCTGCCCGGGCAAAGGGCAGCCATGCTGCTACCCCAGCTGCCATGCTTACAGCAGTTCCTTTCACAAATTTATCTGCAAAATAATATAATAAAATAACAGATGGAATGGTCCAGGTTTGGAATTTCAGCTTAGTATATAAAAAAGCATCTTTCTATGTGTATAATTCATAGAAATATTAATTTCTGTAAAAAATGCAGTACTAAATTTAGTTCAGTGGTGAACCTACTGGTCACAATTCCCCATCCATATCCGCTGTCTGTACCTAGGTTCATCATAGGTAGGTGATGGAGGAACCCATATGTTGCTGCTTTTACTTGTAGCTCTCAGAGCTGTATCAGCAGCAGGGAAATATCAGTTCTGTCTGCTTGCAGTTTTCAGTCATCTATCTTCTGTCTCCCAAGTCTGACACTGCCACCAGCCACATCCCATCAGATGCCTGTTGTGTTTTTTGATACAGGAGATCCATCAAAGTTCTGTATGCCTGATAGAATGACTACTGGATTCCCCAGGAAAACAAGACATGCATCCTATTCTTCCCCAGGATTTTCAGTTAAAATGCCAGCAAGACTTTGCCAGGTGCCAGCATACTTTGCTTTATAGACACATGCAACAAATCCATTTTTTTTTTACTCTTTGAGAAAGCGTCTCACGTACCTTTTAGTGGGAATGCAAATGAAAGCTGTTTACACTGGGAACCTGCAGAACAATCCTAATCCAGAAAGGGGAGTATGAGCCAATGTGCCCTGCAGAGAACCTGATGGTCCCCGTGTGTGTTTGCTGCAACAAGTCCAAAGAGCCTGCAGCAGGTGCTGCACTTCAGGCAACTTAGCTTCTAGGAAAAGGCAGCTGTGCAGAGTGTGCAAGCTGTGTTTCAGGCTCAATCCACTCTCGTGCAGTCTGGAGGGATCTGTCAATGAAAAGGCTAAGGGTGATTAAGGTTTTATCCCTCCTTCCAGTCCAGTGGATGGGACACCATAACAAGCACAGAGCTGGGAATATCCCATGCTTTCCTCCTGGTACCCAGCTAGAAGAAAATAATACTAAAAAAAAACACCCACTGGCTTGGGGTTTGTGTTAGGCTGCACAGCTATTTATTAACAGAGCCCTGATGTGTGAAACAAGCTGTACAAGTGTTGAGTCCCTTTTACTGTGCATGCTTTGTAGAGATCTACAATACGAAGCCAGCCATGCACATCGCACAGACAAGTTATAGGAAGTCACCTTAGCATTCTACAAGTGTCCAGAATACAGCATCATGTTTCCAATCTCCTGGTGTTGGTGTTAGTATTTCTATTGCTATCTTTGTGTTTCCTGCACTGTATCTCTCCGAGAATCCACTCTCATTTAAACACAGGCTGACAGCAGCAGGTTCAACGTGATAACATAGAAGCCTAGCTCACTGTGAGACGGCAGCAGCTAGATGGCGCAACGAGGCAGAGCACAGAAAGCACAGAGCTGCCTCTATACAGAGCTGCTTGTATTTCCTCAAAGCATAAATACATGTAGCAACTGGCTAATGGGGGAAGGTACTATTGTACATATAATCCACGCTTCTGGGCAAGTGCTTTACATTTAGGCATACACAATGTATATACTGTTCATCTTAGGGCATCTAAGTAATTAATAAGTTATCAGGCTGCCTGCAGCACTAAACTAAACAATCAATTTTGTGCAAAGGAGATTCACTCAAGTCAAAGTAAATTATGAATTAATCAGTGTGTATCAGCTTTAATTCCTCTTTTAATCATTCCATACGAGGCAACAGATATAAGTGTAAATATACCTTAGTGGAGTATTAACATTACTGGATGGCAGTAATACCTGTTACTTGTTTAAGAGCTTTTCTGGGAAGCTCCCACCCTATCTGAACAAAATGCTCTTCTCTGCTGTTCCCACCTCCTATAACCTCCGATCCAGTTCTTTATTTAGTCTACCACAAAACAAAAAGAAAGTGGCTCGATCCTCCTTTTCCTACAGAGCACCGCAATTATGGAACGACCTCCTGCACACTTTAAAAACTTACCCAAGTCTAAAGTCCTTTAAGAGATCCCTCTCTACATACCTCAAAACAGAATGCACGTGTTATGGTTGATTATATATTTCTTACCTGTTCTATGTTACATTTTATATATATTGTGTATTAATATTGTTTTTGTATTTTATTGTACCCTAATGTAACAATGCAATGATTTGTGGACCCAGGACATACTTGAAAACGATTGAAATCTCAATGTATCTTTCCTGGTAAAATATTTTATAAATAAATAAATACCCGCTTTAATTTCGCAGCCCACTCATTTTAGGATAAGAGCAGTTTATTGAGGAGTGACAGCAACTTTTATATTCATGATAAAGCACTTTTATTGAATGCTTAAAAATATATATTTTTTTGTGTTAAAATATAGTCAGGAAGGTGTTTTGGATTCACTAAATATGTGACATTTGAATGTGTAGTTTATTATTTATGTTTCTAGGTAAAGAATGTCTGATATAGTGGGCGTTATTGAGGTTTTTTTTTTAGATATACATTATTTCCAGCAATACCTGTAGTTTGAAATGTCGCTAAGTATTAAAAAGTTAGTTTTCATTCTAGAGTTAAAGAACATTTCAAGCACCAACACCACCACAGGGGGGCCTTGGCTCTGCCACATTGTAAATAGTGAAATCGTTTTAGAATGGTTTGATTTCATACGTGGGGTCTGCAGATACATCAATCAGAGAACCGGAATCCCCCTGTCTGATCTCAGCCTGGCATTGTATACAGCGCTAAGCTCAGGAGAGCTATCGGAAGCTGCTAAGCTCCTCCTGACTGATGTAGTGGAAACAAACAATTCTAAAATGGTTTCACTACTTACAATGGGAAGGGGTGCCAGGGCAACAAATACAGCATGTTATAGGGGTTATGGTGCGAGTGTCCCACCTCTAAGCAGTACCTATCAGGCTGCTGTCAGTGCCCCCCTCTAAGCAGTGATGTTAGATTGCTGCCAGTGTCTCTCCCCTAAGCAGTACATATCTTGCTGCAGCCTGTGTCTCTCCTCTAAGCAGTGCATATCAGTCTGCTGCCAGTGTCTCTCCCCTAAGCAGTTCATATCTTGCTGCAGCCTGTGTCTCTCCTCTAAGCAGTGCATATCAGTCTGCTGCCAGTGTCTCTCATCTATGCAGTGCATATCAGTCTGCTGCCAGTGTCTCTCCCCTAAGCAGTTCATATCAGGCTGCAGCCTGTGTCTCTCCTCTATGCAGTGCATATTATTCTGCTGCCAGTGTCCCACCTCTAAGCAGTGATGTTAGATTGCTGCCAGTGTCTCTCCTCTAAGCAGTACATATCAGTCTGCTGCCAGTGTCTCTCCCCTAAGCAGTGCATATCTTGCTGCAGGCAATGTCTCTCCACAAAGCAGTAATGTTCGGTGGCTGCCAGTGTCTCTCCTCCATGCAGTGCATATCATGCTGCTGCCAGAGTCCCCCTTCTCGAAGCAGTGAACATCAGGCTGCTGCCAGTGTCTCTCCTCTAAGCACTGCATACCAGGCTGCAGCCAGTGTCTCTCCTGTGTGCACTGCATACCAGGCTGCTGTCAGTGTCCCCCTTCTCTAAGCAATGAACATCAGGCTGCTGCTAGTGTCTCTCCTCTAAGCAGTGCATACCAGGCTGCAGTCAGTGTCTCTCCTCTAAGCAGTGCATGTCAGGCTGCAGCCAGTGTCTCTCCTCTAAGCACTGCATACCAGGCTGCAGCCAGTGTCTCTCCTCTAAGCACTGCATACCAGGCTGCAGTCAGTGTCTCTCCTCTAAGCAGTGCATGTCAGGCTGCAGCCAGTGTCTCTCCTCCATGCAGTGCATATCATGCTGCTGACAGTGTCCCCCTTCTCTAAGCAGTGAACATTAGGCTGCTGCCAGTGTCTCTCCTCTAAGCACTGCATACCAGGCTGCAGCCAGTGTCTCTCCTCTAATCAGTGCATGTCAGGCTGCAGCCGGTGTTCTGACACTCAGAGAGGCTAACTGCTATCTGTAGAATACTCAGGAAACACAGCAGTTCCAGGACCAAGTATTTCTGTGACATTTACACTAAAAGGCCATGGCAATTTTGACGTTCACAGTAACTCCTTACTTGAGAAGAAACTTTGAGATGGCTCAGTGGGCTAATGCATCTTCAACAGAATCTGTTCAACCCGTGGGGGTTGCAGATTCAAATTCTGGCAGGGATTGACTTAACCCTTCGTCCTTCCAAGGTAGATAAAATGAGTACCATTAAATTGGGTAATAGTAACATCCCCTGGATGTTGGGCAAAAGTAACATCCCCAGGACGTACTTGGAAACTAGAGTAATCTGAATGTACCTTTCCTGGTTAAATAATTATTCTCTGGAAGTGAAGCACTGATTAAAATGCCAATCTCAATGCAACTGTGAGCTAAACTCTATGTACCAGAAGATGCATAGAAGGTGGGCACTATGATCATGTAAAAGATAGGTCAACCCATATTAGCACCTAATGATAACTAATATTGCCCAAAGACAATGAAAATTAGATGAGTTTTAATAAATGCATAAAGTCAGCAATCAAGAAAGGTGCAACTTTCACACCTTCCACACGAGCTGTTTGGCCGACTGCTGTGCTCATTGACTGCTTGTATTATAAAAACGACATGATGTTTGCACATAGTTTAATTCACAACACCCTAGTTCAGACTGACTTTAAAATGTATATTGCACATATCTCAGTACAGAAAGATTATATCGCATTCAAGATTCAAGATTATATGCCATATCCCATTCCCACAGCAACAAAACAATGTATTCAATAACTTGTAAGTAAATATGAAACTTCTGTAATATAAATTTATTTACAGAGAAAGTACCACTATTATACCAATTTACTAACATCTCAGTAAGATATTTAGCCCTCATGCCTCTTTTACTTTGCAATAAAAAAAGATTATTTAATCCCAATCAGAGCAACAACTTTGTATCATTTTTGGAAAACTATATGGTCAACAATTGAGCCCAAGCTTCCATTGGATTTAACTTGCTAGTTCAAACGCACATGTAAAAA